ATCCCCCTACCTCTTCCACATTAATAAACTTAAAATTTAATTCCTGCTTGTTTGTAAACACACACGCAAACAAAAGTATTATTTGTATTAGAATATACAGGTCAGGCTGCTGTAACAAAGAGACTAGCAGATACACTGGTGTGAGTAAAACAGAAGTACCTTTTTCTCTTACTTAAAAGTTGTAGTGAGCAGTTCAGGGCTGGTGTGGTCAGGAACCCAGGCTGTTTCTGTCTTGTGGCTGCACCATTCCAGCCAGTAGGAAGAAGTGAAAGGAAAGAAAATGCTCCACCCCTTTAAGGGCATCATCCAGAAACTGCACACATCACTTCTGGTCACATCTCATTGGCTAGAACATAGTCACATGACCATACCTGCTAGGAAGGCTGGGGAGTGTGGCCGTCAACTGAACAGCCATATTCCCATCTAAAACTTCCGTTACGAGAATATATTCCTGGCCAGCGCACCTCATGTGCAGCCACCATCCATCTGTCAGTGGAGGCTTGTGTGTTGCTATGAGGCTGAACTGAACAGGTTTCAGCGGAGTTTAAACACTTAAGACAGAGTAGGAAGAAAGGCATGGAAATCTATGTCTGAAAAATCAGCTAATGAAAACCCTATGGATCACAACAGTCTGATCCCATTGTGCATGGGGTCACCATGAGTCAGGGGCCGACTCAACAGCAGCTAATAACAACAGAAATACCCAGTTATAACTTCCATCACTATAGAAAAAAGAGGCGGGGTGGGTACTGGTAGACAACTAGCAATCTTTGCCATGTTTTAATACATCAGTACTTTTTTTGGATTTACAACATGTTATTACTTTATTTGTCCACATTCATATCTTATATCTCACTCCTACCTTCTGGTTCATGAACCAGCATACTAGCTAAAGTACCATATTTTTATGCAAATAACACACATCTTCTACATTTGTTTGCCACCCACACCTTCCCCCTGCGAGGTATTTTTGTAAGCACGCTATGCTAATTAGCATGCTTATGAAAATACCTTGCTGGAGGAGGGCACAGTTAGCAAACAAATGTAGAAGGCACATGTTATTTGCATAAAAATGTGTTTCATCTTCACTTGGTCTTTCACAGAAGAATAAAGCTGGGATTTTTTTTCTATTTTGCCCCCATTCTTAAAAGATAATTTGGCTGGGTATAGAATTCTAGGTCCACAGTTTTCTCCCCGCCAAGGCTTTGAGGAGATTTTGCAGTTGTCTCTCAGAATCTCTTGGTGCTCTTGCGATGGCCGCTAGTTTCCATGTTCTTTCTACATGCAGCAGATCCCAAAGAGGAAGAAAGGAGGGGGCTGAGCTACTCATGCCCAGTTTCTTTTACTGAAACCCTCCAATAAGATAAGACAGGAGGTGTAACTAAGGGGGCAGAAAGGAGCTGAGAGTGTTGTTCTAATAAGTTCCCTGTCACCACACACACACACACACACACACACACACACACACACACACTCAGCTTACCTGGTAGTCTCTCTTTCACACAGTCGTTACTGTGGTTTTGCAGTTGCCTTTGTCAAAGACAAAGAGAGAATCTTGAAAGCAACTAGATTAACAACTGATTTTTCATCAGAAACCATGGAGACTAGAAGGCAGTGAGATGACATATTTAAAAGAAACTTTCAACCAAGAATTATATATCTATATAGTCTAGAGACTTGGAAGCGGTGACGCAGACACATGGACTGCTCCAAACTTGGTTTCAGGGCCTATGTTAGTAACTAGTACAACTCGGTGCCTACACACAGCACTTGCCCCATTCCAGCTCTCTCTGTTTCTGTCTCAGCTCTGGTAATGCACTGGGGGCTCTGTTCTAACTGCCGTCCTCATGTAGGAGTGTCTTGCCCCAGTTCTTAAGAAGGTACTGAAATTCCAGACTCCACGATCTGTGGCCATGCACTAACTTTGGCCTTGAATGCTGTGGGTTTCTTCTCCATTTCTAATCCACCGTGAGTTCCCTGTTTCACTTGAACAACAACAACAAAAAAAAAAAAAAAAAAAAAAAACCTCATTGCCCTAGAGTTGATCCTGACTCATAGCAACCCTATAGGACAGAATAGAACTGCCCCAGAGGGTTTCCAAGGAGCAGCTGGTGGATTTGAACTGCCAGCCTCTTGGTGAGCAGCCAGATCCTTAACCATTGCGCCACCAGGGCTCCAGGCACTTGAACAAGGGTGTATTATTTTTTAATAGTTTCCACCACTCTGTTCAAATTTCCGTTTTGTATGTGCATGCTGTCCACTTCTGCCACTAGAACTTTAACATATTGTTCACAGGAGCCAAGGAGCCCACTGGTCTCCTGGGTAGAGGCCCATGGAGAAGAACTTGAGAGAGAGTGTGAACTCTCCTTGAGTCTGGGTCTCCTGCTCATTCTAAACAGATGAGCTAGCCCACACTTGGCCTTTAGGAATTTGCTAAAATTTTAGCTGATTTCTCCCTGGAGCCCTGGTAGTAAGGTGGTGAAGAGCTATGACTGCTAACCAAGAGGTCGGTAGTTCAAATCTGCCAGCCACTCCTTGGAAACCCTCTGGGGCAGTTCAGCTCTGTCCTATAGGGTCACTGTGAGTTGGAATCAACTCGATGGCAACTGGTTTGGTTTTTTGGTTTCTCCCTACTCTCTTCTGTGGCAACTACCACTTCTTCCCATGCCCTGCCGGCGATGAGAGTCCGTGTCTGGCTCTCCTTGGAGCTTCTGGCTTGATGGATTCATGCACCCTGGCTCCCTTGCAGTTGAGCTCTCTGATGAGTAGTTCAGCATAAGTTCTGATGTTGTAGATTATTTGGCTTTTTCCTATTATTAGGATTGGGAGCATTGTTCTCTTGCAGCTTCCTCCTTTTCTTCTTCATAAACCCCTTCCTGATTAATGTGATCAGAATATTGTTTAACACCTCCTTTTCCTCTTTGGAAACGTTTTCATTGAAAAGGTCTTCCCATTGGGCCAGATCCATCTTCTCACTTGTGCCTGGGAGGGCTGAGAGGACTCGACCCATCAGGGAGCTGTCAAGCCAGGGAAGATGTTACCTGCAGAAGTAGTTTCAGCAGGATGTGGGAAGGTGCTGGAGTGGGGCATAGAGAAGAGCACCCTGAGTCTGGCCAGCAGTTAAACAGAGCTTTCCTGGAGGAGACATATGTGCTGGGGCTGAGTCCTGTTTGTGCCAGTTACGGGGTTTGGTGTTCGTGAGTTCCGAGACAATGCGATCACTTTCTCTCAAGCCCCCTCACTTCTCCTGCACTGGGTTTTCCTCATTGATCAAAACTAAATCAACGTGAATCTACGCTCGTGATAAAATGACAGAGAACTGTACACACACTTTGCACCAATGTCAACTTCCTGATTTAATGATGTTGTACATAGTTAAGGAGCCCTGGTAGTGCGAAGGGTTAAGCACTTAGCTGCTAACTAAACAACTGATGGTTCGAACCCACCCAGTGGCTCCATGGGAGGAAGACCTGGTAATCTGCTTCTATAAAGATTACAGCCTAGGAAACCTGTGGGGCAGTTCTTCCCTGTAACACATGGGGTTGCCATGAGTCAGAATCAACTCAGCGGCACACAACAACTATGGTCGCCTAAGATGTAACTTCGGGGGAGGCTGGGTGAAGGATACAAGGAGACTCTCTGTACTGTCCTTGCAACTGCCTGTGAATATATCTATAATCATTCCGAACTAAAAAGTAAAAGTAAGTAATAAACAGTATGGTTCCAAACTAAACCTCTTTGCCTTTTTAGGGCCTGAAACCTTCTCCCTTCTCATCCTCCCCGCTCAGTACTTCATTTCAGGAATCTCAAATAGACGTGGGCATGGTCACTTTTAATTTGCTTCTGGAAAACCCCAGTGGGGACCCAGAAACAAGCGAGGTTCCTGGCAAAGTTCAGACTTGCAAGGGGGAAGCCCGGGAGAGAGGGCTTTCCTGGGCTCTGGAGGCAGCTGCTCTGGCCACACACGCCGAAGGCTGGGCTCCTTCGGGCTTTAGGGGCTATAAAAAATCAAATTGGAAATAAGTCCCCATTCTCTCCTGCCTCCCTTAAAGCCCTCAAGTCATCAAAAGTGGCTCATTTAGGGTGCACTGAGTCGTTCTGTTCTATCAGTACTGTGTACGTACGGCTTTCCATACAGTCGTTGCCATCAGACAGTAACAATACAAAGCCATAAAATTCTCTCCAGTTTCCCAAACGCCTCCCTTTTCATCTTGTGAGAAGACATTGTCTGCCCTTAGGGTGAAATAAATTGTTGATGCAAACAGCGCTGTGGCTGAGCCGTCCTCAGGATCAGGTGCAGCCGGAAGAGGACGCGCGCCAGGGCTGGGGCGGCCCTGGGATGGAGGGGCCAGAGATTTGATTTGCATTTTCTCCTAAAGTGTTCGTGCGTGCTGCAGCTCCGTCACCGTGACTAATCACAAGATTTAACGGCCTTAAACTGCTCACCAAGGGCCCAATTCAATTAAAAAATGTCCCACGGAGGCCATGAACAGTCCTCTCCTCTCTGCTTTCCCAGCCTTCCAGAGCCTTCCATCCCCGAACGGAGGCCGAGTGAGTTCTTTTCTCATGTAATTTTTTTTATTGACTCGGGCCGCAGACTCCTGTCAGTCCTGCTGGCACTCGCCTGGCGCTGCCCTCTGCCCCACGTCTCCTTCATACTGGGAGGATCGCTTGGTTCTTACGCAGGTATTGTTGTGTGCCGTTGAGTCCATTCTGACTCATGGTAACCCCACGTGTGCAGAGAACTGCTCCATAGGGTCTCCTTGGCTGTGATCTTTACAGACTCATGGCGACCCCATGTGTGCAGAGAAGAACTGCTCCATAATGTTGTCAAGGCTGTGACCTTTTGGGAGCAGATTGCCAGCCCTACTTTCAGAGGCACCTCTGGGTGGGTTTGAACCACCTACCTTTGGGCTAGTAGTGGAGTGCTTGACCGTTTGCTCAGCCAGGGCCCAGGTTCTTACACTGACCCTGAGAAATGACTTCTGCTTCCTCACCAGTTTGACAAGCTCTGGAGCGAGATGCCGGTCACCACCAAGGGGAAGCTGAAATACCAGGAGTTCCTGAGCAAGTTCAGCTCGGAAAAGGCCGTGACACCGCCAGCCTCGGGCGACTCGGCCAGGGCCCAGAAAGGGAGCAGCGTCCCCGAAGTCTCAGGAGGGACCACATCTGCCCGGTTATCACCCCTGCAGGACCTGAAGGGGGTACCAAAGAAGTGGAGTCACCCCTGCGTGAGTACCCCACGTGGCCACGTGTCACACACTGCCTCGGCCAGGTCACAAATCCCGCCAGGCCAGGGTGCTTTTGGGTGGGCCCAAGGCTTCCATGGGGTGTGGGTGACTGAGAGGTGGGGTGGCCACAGTGAGCTGAGGGGCATACGGGAGAGGATCCCACCGGCAGGTTCTCAGCATTCACTTCCCTGGGAGGGGCAGGAGGTCAGTAAGAGGAACTGACCCATGGTGCCCCCATGTGTGTCCAAGTAGAGCTGCACTCCATAGGGTTTTCAGTGGCTGATTTTTCAGAAGCTGAGTGCCAGGCCTTTCTTCGAAGGCAACTCCGGGTGGACTTGAACCGCCAATCTTTTGGTTAGCAAGCATGTCCACCACCCAGGGACTCCAAATATGAGGAAAGGGGTAGTGAAAGGTGGAAAGGAGGAGTATGGGGGTAGAAGGGAAGAATGAAGCGGATACCAGGTAGAAAGGGAGGCCAAGGCGGCAGAAGACACTAAGCATGAGCAGTGCCGTCGGCCTTTTTGGTCCAGGAAAGCAAGCGTCCATGAAAAACTGGCCACATGCCGAGCACCCCATCGTGTGCTGCAGTTCTACCCATTTTACAGCTGAAGAAACTGAGGCTGTGGGAGGTGTCCTGTTGTGCTCAAGGTCCCTCAGTTCGTTACAGAGAAGTCCTAACATCCTAGCTTGGCCTGGGATGGAGGAAGGGTCCCAGCTGCAAGGAGGGGTGGTCACAGCTCCAGGGAAGAGAGAATACAGCACCACGAATATAAGGCAACCACCGCTGTGCTTAGTGTATGGTGAGCATTCACACAGCAGTTACCATGCCGTCCGCCAGCCAAGACACACTTCCTGCACACCTACTAGGTGGTGGGTGGTTTCTTGAGCTGGGAACACTTCAACGAGCAAAGGTTCCCATCCTTGTGGGGTTTATGTTCCAGTGGGGGATGACTGGCAACAACAGTAAACATAATAAGTAGTTAGATAAAAGGTGGTCAGAGGAGCAGATGAGGGGGTCAGCAGCACCCCAGAGATGTCCACGTCCTAATGCCCTCAACCCATGAATACGTTACCTTACCTGGCAAGGGGAATTAAGGTGGCAGATGGAATTAAGGTTGCTAATTAGATGAGATAGGGAGGTTATCCTGGATTATCCAGGTGGGTGCAATGGAACCACAAAAGTCCTCAGCCAGGGAAGAAGGAGGCAGAGGAGTTGGGGTGAGAGTGATGGGCCATGAGAAAGACAACCCACCACTGCTGGCTTTGAAGGTGGAAGAAGAAGCCAGCAGCTAAGGGATGTGGGCCGCCTCTAGCAGCTGGGCAAGGCAAGGAAGTGGAGTCGCCAGTAGAGCCTCCAGGAGACACCAGCCCTGCCGACACCTTGATTTTAGCCCAGTGAGACACACCTGGAGCTCCAGAACTGGAATAAAATTCCTTTTGTGTTGTTTTAAGCCACTAAGCTTGTGGTCGTTTGTGACCTAGCAGCGGGAAACTCATACAGGCTATAAGGCCCCTGTAAGAACTTTGGCTTCTGCTCTGTGGCGAGGGCAGCCTTTGCAGGTTTTTACACTTAGGAGTAGCATGACGTGGCAGGCCTTTTACAGAGACTACCTGTATTAGGCTGGGTTCTCTAGAGCAGCAAAGCCAGCGAAGCATATATATATAAATATATATACAGAGAGGTTTATTTCAAGGAAATGGCTCACGCAGTTGTGGAGGCTGGCAAATCTCAAATCCATGGGTCACATGTCAGGCTGGAGGCTTCTCCTGACTCACGTGGTTGCAGGGGCTGATGAACCCAAAATAGGCAGATTAGATGGCAGATTGCTGACTCGCATCCCAAGAACCAGAGGTCAGAAGATGACAAGCAGGGTGCAAGATAGAGAGAACAGAACATCCACATATATTGGATGCAGACCACACCCCCAAGGAAACTCTCCTTTCAACCAACTGGCCACTCACATCAGATTACATCATGGATGATGATTACATCATATCTGCCGAACCACCAAGAATCATGGCCTAGCCAAGTTGACATATAACCTTAATTATCACACTACCCATCTGTCAGTTTTTTGTACTACGGTGGTTTCCGTATTGCTATAATGCTGGAAGCTATGTCACCATTATTGCAAATACCAGCCGGGTCACCCCTGGTGGATAGGTTTCAGTGGAGCTTCCAGACTAAGATAGACTAGGAAGAAAGGCCTATGAAAGCCCTATGGATCACAACAGAACATTGTCTGATATAGTTCTGGAAGATGTGTCTCTCAGGTTGAAAGGCACTCAAAAATGCACAGTGACGCAACAATGGACTTGAGCATACCAATGATCGTGAAGATGGTGCAGGACCGGGCAGCGTTTTGTTCTGTTGTACATGGGGTCGCCATGACTCATGGCCAACTCAAGGACAACTATCAACAACATCAACTCCAGTTGTGTGGAAGCGAGGCTGTGGGGTGGAGTAGAGTGTGCAAATGGGGACGGACCAAAGGAGAGTGGCCGGGACCAGGCCCCAGTGGTGATCAGGTGAGAGATGATGGAGTCTTGGAGTGTAGTGGTGGACGGGAGCTGTTGAAAAGTGGCCAGATCCTGGGCATCTTCAAAGTGGAGCCATGAGGACTTCCTGATGGATTAATGGATTAGAAGTGGGGATCAGAGGGAGACAGGAGAGTCGAGGAAGACTTCCAAGTTTTTGGCCTAAACAACTGGAAGAAAGGAGTCATCAACTGAGATGGGGAAGGCTCAGGTGGCGCCAGATTTGGGAGAAAGACCAGAATTCACTTCGGTTCATTAGCAGCCGAAGGTCAAGGAGGTGATTGCGTATCTGAGTCTGGCGTTCAGTAGAAAAGTCTGGGCTACGTTAAATTCGCTCCCTTGTTTTTCAGTGGAAAATACAGTAAAATAAAGAACAGCCTCATACATGGTCTATGTAATTTCAAAATATCAGACACTCTGTGAGTGATTACGGGATTGAAGGCCCATGCAAATAACCAGTAAATTCCTTTCTTTGATAGGACTCGGTCTCTGGTGAAAAAGACGCCATTGTCTCTTCTCCTCCCCCCACCCCACACACACCAGTAATGTATTTAAATAGCATCTCTCTATATATGAACCTCAGCTATATATTTAATTCTAAAACTATTTTGGCTATGATGATTTGGCACAAAAATAGCCCACCAATGGAAATAAAAATTAAATTGTAAAATTGCCATCTGTTGCTTTATTTTTCATTTTATTTCTGTAAAATTTTAAGCCTCAAAACCTGAGTCATACCTGTATTTTTTTTTATTATTACTTTCATTTTGAATCTCAAAAACCATTTTCTCTTCTTTCTTGCTAGACTCCAGCTAGTATGGCCACCCATCCCTCCACTCCGCCCTTACAGAACTGTGAACCCATTGAGAACAAGCTCAGAAAGAAAATGCAGAGCTGTTGGCGAGAACTCCTGAAAGAATGCAAAGAGAAGGATACGAACAAACGAGGGGAGATCCGCACCTCCGAGTTCCTGGGTTTGTCTCCATTATGCATTTGGTCGATAATACAGTATCACCTCCTGTAGACAAGAGGCGTTCTCACTGGGCCAATCCATACCCCATGGCGGGTGAGGGAGGGATAGAATGGGGAACCAGGAGGGAACGTCTGGGTCAAGATAGCAGCCTAGACACCTCACTAAACAAAAGCATCGAGGGACGAGAATTCCTAACACGCCACCCGCCACAGGTTCACATAGTCCTGACAAGCAAACACGCCATTGACCTTCAACATTAGAATCAGCCCGTGGAGAAATCACAGCTTGACAGAACGTGAATGGGAACAGACTTTGACAGCTGATGACGACGGGGTCATGGGTGGTAGGGAACGAAGGAGGTGGGGGATGGGGGCACTCAGGCCCACCCAGGGTACATCTCCAGGGGCTACACACACGTCAACATCCACTCTTTCATATCGTTTCATTTTTCATCATGCATTATTTTGATAGGTTAATCGCTCAGCTGCTAACCAAAAGGTTGGCAGTTCAAACCTACCCAATGGCTCCGCCGGGAGAAAGACCTAGTGATCTGCTCCTGTAGATGACCGTCTAGAAAATCCTACGGGGACGTTCTACTCTGTCACATGAGGTCGCTATGAGTCAAAATCCACGTGATAGGACCTAATAACAACAACATTGCTTTGATAAATCTTTTAAAATTAAACCAGCTGGATGTGTGCTTGCACTAATTGTTGTGTAGTATGTATCCAACACTTGACATAACAGAAAAGTACATCTGACCATGTCACTCCTCTACTTAAAAGCCTCCTTTAGCCCCCTATTTTCTTGACTATATATAGTCAATGTATTGGAGAAGTTTTATGACAACCATCACTTAAAAATCTACAAAACAAGTGTAAACTCAGTTTATAGCTTTTATTTAAAAAGAATTATAAATTAAGTATAAAAATATGAAATCAGTAATAATCAAATAAATGTTAGTGCATTGATTTGATGTGACATGTTTTGCTGAAACCAAATCACCAGTGTTGTTTTCAATGCGTGTTTGAGTGTCCCTTGTTTTTTAGTTACTTCTTTTGAATCTGAGCGTGATGAGCCATAACTTGAGTTATTGTCATTATCAGTATTGGTGCTTTTTCCTTTTAACCGTGAACTCATTTAAGCCACCAATCCATTGTTCTGCTAGCTTGGTCGGACTATAATTTTTGTGTGTGCTTGCCTTCGAGTCAGTTCTGACTCATGGCGACCCCATCTGTGTCAGAGTAGAACTGTGCGCACAGGGTTCACAATGGCTAATTTTTTGGAAGTTGATCACCAGGCCTTTCTTGCAAGGCACCTCTGGGTGGACTCTAACCTCCAACCTTTCAGTTAACCATTTGCAACACCTTGAGACTCTTTCAATAGTACATTTACAAATCATTCTGTATTTTCTATACTATGCTGATAACCCTCTGCAAATTGGGACATCAGAGGCAGGGCCTAGAGCAGAGAAGGCACCCCAGCAAATGGTGGATGAATGAATGAATGAACGAATGAGTGACCACCCACTGAGCTGGCATTCTTGTCTTTAGCGCTTGTGGAAAAATTCAACCTGGACATAAGCAAAGAGGAAAGCCAGCAGCTCATTATCAAGTACGACTTAAAGAACAACGGTAAATTTGCTTATTGCAACTTCATCCAGAGCTGTGTCCTCCTGTTGAAATCCAAGGAGACATCGCTGATGCAGAGGATGAAAATTCAGAATATACACAAAATGGTACGTAAGTCTTTCTCACAGTGGGTGGGCTGGTGGGAAAGGCGCTCTCCTTTTGCTTGATTCATTGCAAACATGGATTCACAGCTGCCTACAGCAGCTGGGTGTCCAGCACCTCCGGGAGAAGGCTCCCTGGCCAGAGCCCAGCCCAGCTCTGCCTCCCGCCAGGACTCCCTGGGTCTCGTCGGCTCCTCTGTCCAATGTCCCCTCTGACTGCCGCGTCCTCACTGACGCCTGCCCAGATATTCTCTGTACACATATGTTTTGCAAGCAGCGCTTCATTGCCACATTTTCTTCTTTGCTTAAAAAGACCAGTGCAAGTGCCAGGCAAGTTTTCAGAACTGTAGACCAGGCTCAAAGCCCACAGTTTAGTGCACCAGAGAGCACCGGCCTTGGAGGTGAGGGCTTGTGAGTAAAGATAAGGTCGCCATCTTTGACACTGGACATTGGAAATAACTCAGGTACTTCCCTCCTTGAAAAGAATTCAGATAGTCACTTTCTCTTCTTCTGGAACCTGCAAGGGTCTAGAGACCCCAGACCGGGACCCGGGAGGCTGGGTTCTCAAGCTTGCTCGGGTGACCATGTAACATTCGTGTGATAAACGGTCAGATACCGCGTCAGCCACTCCTACAAAGCTGTGGGGAGCGGTAGCTGGTCAGCTGGGATCCTAGCAAAGGTAAACATTGTTCCTGTCAACACGTGTGTTGATACCTGGGTGCTTGCTTCTGCTTGTCGAAATATATTCATCCGCGGTTGAGGCGGGGCCGGACCATTCGTCTGAGTGCAGGGTGGTCACTTGGAGTCTCTGCTCGTCTTTCTTGCATAAGCCACGCCCACAATGCACTGTCTACAATTTTCTGTGGCTTTGAAGAGGAACGAGTACCTGAAGACACTTAAGTAGCAACCGAGTGTACTCTTCTTCTGGATTTGTGCCCTGTGTTCTCAGCCGTTGACACTTTTCCGCTTGTCACCCACGCCCAGTTCAACCACAGTGTCTTCACTCGTTCCTCTTTCTCGAGCCTTTCCAAAACAGGCAGCCAAAAATGTCATCGTTTTCATGCTCATACTCCGTCAGATTTATGTAACGTCACACCGAATTACGGTATATTGAATTGAATAACAAGTACGACAGGCACTATGGATGTGGGGAACAGACGCAGCTGATTCCACTCGCCTTCAGCTCAGCTCGGACCAGAGGGTGGGGCAGAGCTGGACAGCCGCCCTACCTGCCTCTCATCCGCACCCCCACCTCACGCCCCTCAGGCAGCAGTCAGTAATTGAGTGGGTTCATCCAGCAAACAGAATCCACGCGGAGATTTTCTACACAGATAAACACGATTCTGTGCAAAATCAGGTACCATCTCAGTGTAGCACCATCTGGTGTAAACAGGCGGGGCCCAGGCCAAGTATGGGGGAGAAAAGTATAAAACTGAGACAGTTCTCCCACTGGCTGAGTTTTCTAGAACGCAGGAGAGGCTCCCCTCCTCAGATGTTTGCTGGGCCTGGGACATAGCCGGAGAAGAGAGACGACAGGTGGAGATGAGAGGGCTCGGGGCAGCCGGCTTGCTGCAGACCTGGCCAGCACGCCCCCAGTGCCTCCATGCTTGCCCCAGCCCCGGTCTCACTGGCCCGAGCGTGGCTGAGTAGTCCTCCGGCCTTTCCTAAGCGTGGTTGTTGTTGCTAGCTGCTATCGAGTCGGCCATCAGCTTACGGTGACCTCATGCACAACAGAACCAAACACTGCCCAGTCCTGCGCCATCTGCTTGATCAGTTGTGGATGGATCCACAGAGTTTTTCATTGGCTATTTGGAAGTAGATCGCTAGGCCTTTCTTGCTAGTCCACGTTTGTCTGGGAGCCCTGCTGAAGGCTGTTCAGCACCATAACAACACGCAAGCCTCCACCGACGGATGGTGGCTGTTCATGAAGTGCATTGGCTGGGGGTCGAACCAGGATACCCCACAGGAGGGCGAGAATTCTGCCACTGAGCCTAGAGCCTAAGTCCAGAGAGAAGCTAACAGGGACCCTTCCTAGTGATTTGGGGGATTTCTGTCAATCTTCAGCCGCAGAAAAACCTCCCTTTGGGGTGCAGAGTTTGGCCCCTAGTCCCCTGCAAGCCCTAAGCCAGACCCAGAGGCATAGGATTCCTTCCTGGGTGGGTTTGTTGTGCTGTGCTGGGATGGGAACACTTCTCTAGCCAGACGTAGGTGTAAGAAGAGCAAGTAGGCGTAGCATTCATTCTCTCCCAAGGACACGGATAAGCTGATATGGAAAATTGGCAGCTGAGGAAACCATGAGGTACCTGGTGAGTTTCCATCCTAGATGCTAAATGATGTAAAAATTGAAAGCAATTTAATTCTGTGCTGATTTGTGTTGTGTGCTGCCATGTTCCACCACTCGTCTGTCAGTGTGTTGTACTGTGGTGGCTTGCGTGTTCCTGTGATGCTGGAAGCTATGCCACCAGTATTTCATATACCAGCAGGGTCACCCATGGCAGACAGGTTTCAGCTGAGCTTAAAGACAAAGACAGACTAGGAAGAAGGACCCGGTGATCTACTTCTAAAAAAATTGGCCAATGAAAACCTTATGAATAGCAGTGGAACGTTGTGTGATATGGTGCCGGAAGATGAGCATCTCAGGTTGAAAGGCACTCAACATATGAGCTGGGAAGAGCTGCCTTCTCAAAGTACGGTCAGCCTTAATGAGGTGGATGGAGTCAAGCTTTTGGGACCTTCATCTGTTGATGTAGCACAACTCAAAATGAGAAGAAACAGCTGCAGCATCCATTAATAATTGGAACATGGAATGTACCAAGGAAGAATCTAGGAAAATAGGAAGTTATCAAAAATGAAATGGAATGCATAAAGATCAATAGCCTAGGCATTAGTGAGCTGAAATGGACTCGTATAGGCCATATTGACTCGAATAATCATATGGTCTACCATGCCTAGTGTCTTAGTTATCTAGTGCTGTAGTGCTGCTATAACAGAAATACCACAAGTGGATGGCTTCAACAAACAGAAGTTTATTCTCTCACAGTCCAGTAGGCTAGAAGTCCAAATTCAGGGTGTCAGTTCCAAGGGAAGGCTTCTTTCTCTGTTGGCTCTGAAGAAAGGTCCTTGTCATCAATCTTCCCCTGGACTAGGAGCTTCTCCACACAGGAACCCTGGGTCCAAAGAGTCTGTTCCTGGTGCTGTTTTCTTGGTGGTATGAGGTCCCCATGTTTCTCTGCTCACTTCTGTCTTTTATATCTCAAAAGAGATTGGCTCAAGACACAATCCAGTCTTGCAGATTGAGTCCTGCCTCATTAACATAACTGCTGCTAATCCCATCTCATCAATACCATGGAGATAGGATTTACAACTCATAGGAAAATCATATCAGATGACAAAATGGTGGACAATCACACAATATTGGGAATCATGGCCTAGCCAAATTAATACACATATTTTGAGGGGACACAATTCAATCCATGACGACTTGAATGACAAATTGAAGAGGAACGGTGTTATTTTCATTGTCAAAAAGAACATTTCAAGATCTGTTGTAAAGTACAATGCTGTCAATAAAAGGATAATATCCGTATGCCTACAAGGAAGACAAGTTACTACGACTATTATTCAAATTTATGCACCAACCAATGCCAAAGATGAGGGAATTGAAGATTTTTACCAATTTGCGCGATCTGAAATTAAACCTGCAATCAGGATCCATTGATAATTACTGGTGATTGGAATGCAAAAGTTGAAAACGAACAAGGAGGAACAGTAGTTGGAAAATATGGCCTTGGTAATGGAAATGACACAGGAGATCGCATGATAGAATTCTGCAAGACCAACGACTTCTTCATTGCAGATACCTTTTTTCAACAACATAAATGGCTATGCACATGGATCTCGACAGATGTAATGCACAGGAATCAAATTGACTACATCTGTGGAAAGAGTCAGTGGAAAAGCTCAATTTCATGAGTCAGAACAAGGCCATCAATTGCTCATATGCAAGTTCAAGTTGAAGCTGAAGAAAACTAAAACAAGCCCGCGAGAGCAAAAGTAAAACCTTGAATATATCTCACCTGAATTTAGAGACCATCTCAAGAATGGATTTGAGACATTGAACATTAATGACTGAAGACCAGGCAAGTTGTGGGATGACATCAAGGACATCATCATGAAAGCAAAAGATCATTAAAATACAGGAAAGAAAGAAAAGACCAAAATGGATGTCAGAAGAGATGCTGACACTTGCTCTTCAACATAGAGCAGCTAAAGCGAAAGGAAGAAATGATGAAGTCAAAGAGCTGAACAGAAGATTTCCAAGGGCGGCTCAAGAAGACAAAGTAAAGTATTATAATGAAATGTGCAAAGACCCGGAGTTAGAAAAAAGAGAAGAACACTCTCAGCTTTTCTCAAGCTGAAAGAACTGAAGAAAAAATTCAAGCCTTGAGTCGCAATATTGAAGGATTCTATGGGCAAGATATTGAACGATGTAAGAAACATCAAAAGAAGATGGAAGGAAGACACAGAGTCACTGTACCAAAAAGAATTGGTCGATGTTCATCCACTTCAGGAGGTAGCATATGATTAAGAACTGATGATATTGAAGGAGGAAGTCCAAGCTGTCCTTAAGGCACTAGCGAGAAACAAAGCTTCAGGAACTGACAGAAAATCAATTGAGATGTTTCAACAAATAGATGCAAAGTTGGAGGCACTCACTCATTTATGCCAAGAAATTTGGAAGACAGCTACCTGGCCAACCAGCTGGAAGAGATCAATATTTGTGCCCATTCCAAACAAAGATGATCCAATAGAATGCAGAAATTATCTGACAATATCATTAATATCATACGCAAGTAGAATTTTATGAAAATAATTCAAAAACAATTGCAGCAGTACATTGACAGGGAACTGCCAGAATTAAGCAGGATTCAGAAGAGGACATGAAATGGAGAATATCATTGCTGGTGTCAGATGGATCTTGGCTGAAAGCAGAGAATATCAGAAAGATGTTTACCTGGGTTTTATTGACAATACAAAGACATTGGACTGTGTGGATCATAACAAATTATGGATAACACTGCGAATAATGGGAATTCCAGAACACTTAATTGTGCTCATGAAGAACCTGTATGTGGACTAAGAGGGAGTCATTCAAACAGAACAAAAGGATGCTGCATGGATTAAAATCAGGAAGGGTGTGCCTCAGGGTTGTATTCTTTCACCATACTTATTCAGTCTGTATGCTGAGCAAATAATCCAAGAAGCTGGACTATATGAAGAAGAACGAGGCATGAGGATTGGAGGAAGACTCATTAACAACCCACATTATGCAGGTGACACAACCTTTGCTTGCTGAAAATGAAGAGGACTTGAAGCATTTACGAATGAGGATCAAAGACCACAGCCTTCAGTATGGATTACACCTCAACATAAAGAAAACCAAAATCCTCACAACTGGACCAATAAGCAACATCACGATAAACAAAGGAAAGATTGATGTTGTCAAGGATTTCATTTTACTTGGATCACAATCAATGCCCATGGAAGCAGCAATCAAGAAATCAAATGACGTATTGCACTGGGCAAATCTGCTGCAAAAGACCTCTTTAAAGTGTTCAAAAGTAAAGATGTCACTTTGACGACTAAGGTGGGCCTGACTCAAGCCATGTTATTTTCAGTCACCTCATATGCATGGGAAAGCTGGACAATGAATGAGGAAGATCAAAGAAGTATTGATGCATTTGAATTATGGTGTTGTCGAAGAATATTGTATGTACCATGGGCTGCCAGAAGAACAAACAAATCTCTCTTGGAAGAAGTACAGCCAGAATGCTCCTTAGAAGCAAGGATAGTGAGACTTCGTCTCATGTACTTTGGACATGTTGTCAGGGGGGACCAGTCCCTGGAGAATGACATCATACTTGGTAAAGTAGAGGGTCCGCAAAAAAAAGAGGAAGACCCTCAAGGAGATGGATTGACACAGTGGCTGCAACAATGGGCTCAAGCATAACAACGAATGTGAGGATGGCGCAGGACCCGGCAGTGTTTTGTTCTGTTGTACCTAGGGTAGCTATGAGTCAGAACCACCCCCATGACACCTAAGAACAACAAATGCCATGTTACAATTAAACTTTCCCAAAATGGATTACACATTACTGCTCACAGTTCACCCCTGTGATACTCAGACATGCATCGGGGCTAAGTGATGCTGATACATCTTGTTTTCAATCTAATAGCACCTAAATGAAATAATCACAGGGTAGTGTACTGTCTAATTACTAGATATAATTACAACCTTAGAATTTTTTAAGCTCTTCATTATAATAATCTACTAGAAGATCCAAACTGAAATCTCTTTTTTTTTTTTTTGTCTCAAACTATGTTGAAATTGGCCTCATATCTGCCTGGGCTTTCCTCGCATTCCTGTGAGGTGACGTGGCCTCCCGTGTGTTGGGAGTCACAGCTCTCATCTTCCCAGTCCTGCCACATCGACTCCCTGAGCGTCCATTTCTCACTCCATAAAATGGGGATAAATAGACCTACCTTCCTCCCCGGTTGCGGGGGCAGAAACCCATCGAGTCATCTTCTACTCCTGACAACCCCATATGCGTCAGAGTAGAACTGTGCTCCACAGGGTTTTCAGTGGCTGATTATTCAGAAGTAGATAACCAGGACTTTCTTTCTAGGCACTTCTGGGTGGACTCGAACCACCAGCCTTTCAGTTAGCAGCAGAGAGTATTAACCATTTGCACCACCCAGGGACTCCGTGGGGGCAGGAAAAGGGGCGCTAATTGAGATCATGCTTTTAAGCAGCCCCCAGCACAGAGACGTGTACTGAAGAACAGCAATGGGGTGATGTTGTATGATGAGTTCTGCTTCCAGAATCCATTCTGGACGGAGAGCCAGTGGGGCCGGGGCTCAGGAGTAGGGCCCAGGGGGAGGGAGCCCCCGGGCCCGTCCACACCCGCGCCGGCCTCACTCCCTGCTTCCCATTCAAAAGCTCCCTCCTCAGCCCCTCTTGCTTTTCAGAAGGAAGCTGGTGTTGAGACATCTTCCTTTTATTCGGCTTTGCTGCGGATTCAGCCCAAGATCGTTCATTGCTGGCGGCCAATGCGGCGCACCTTCAAAGCCTACGACCAGGGTGGGACGGGGCTCCTGAGCGTGGCTGACTTCAGGAAGGTGAGGGCATCTGTGCGTCCTGGGCCCTGGGTAGAGGCAGGGACCGCACCAGCGGCCAGAAAACCTCAAAAGACATCCTCCCTCACCTCGCCAAAGGCTGGGTGTGACCAGCTGCCCCTGACCTCACTTCCCTGGGACCTCCAAGTTGTCGAGGCCTGGATCCCCTTGCCCCTTGCCTGCAGACTCCATGGTCTCCTCCCTCAGAGGTTTCTAGAACTCCGCAGGGGCACTCCGCACCTCTATGGCCCACTCTGAACAGTCACTCACTGATGCTGGAACCACCATCTGGGCCCCGGGCATGGCCTGTGCCTTACTGCCATCCCAGCAGGGGGCCAGGGCAGCTGTCCACCTCCCAGGACCCACAAAACACAATCGCAGCATCAAGGGAAAAACGGGTCCCAGGAATGACTGCTCAGAGGGCCACAGACCCCAGACCTACCACTCTGGTCCCTCGCTCCTCACCTCTGCCCTCTCCCCGCACTGCTCGCCGTGGGGCCAGAGCCAGCGCACCTCCTTGCAGTGCCACAGTGCTAAGCAGTTTTCCTCTACCCTGAGTCCCAGCCCTCCGGGAACCTCCATGCTTTCCTGCACCCAGGGAGGGAAAAATCCCCTCTGAACTGAAGTGTGGTCTGCACGGAGCCTTGACCCCCCATTCCCAGCAGGCAGGGCTCCTCACCCCAACCGCCCCTCCAGGGGAATCGCTGCTTTACCTCTGATAACCTGTGGTGTTTCATCCAGAGTAAGGAAGGGCCATCCTCCAGGGCGAATTAAAACTCACCCTTATCAAATGACATGAAAACCCCTTCATTGGCAGGTTCCTACACCCCCACCCCCAACCAGTGAGGTCTGGAACATTAGATCAAGTAAACATTATACTCAGAAAAAAATCTCAGTCCAGACATGCAAGGAGACAAGCTGAAGGCTACGAATATACTTATAAAAAATGTCCTTCAGTTTATCTGTGCTGCGAACTAAGCGCTTTACAGACAAACCAGTAACGAACCTTTCTTCAGATTGTAAGTCTGTAAGATTAACAGCAGGTGGGGGGCAAGGACAGGCAGGCAGGGGCAAGTTCCAGCTCACCCAGGGCCCTGCGCTGGGCTCACCGTGTACTCGGACGCCCAGCCCCACAGCACACAGTGGGGCCATGCCCACCTCTGCAGCTTGGCAGGCCTCCCAGGGGCCTGCACAGAGACGCCCAGCCCCACAGCACACAGTGGGCCACAGCACACAGTGGGGCCATGCCCTCCTCTGAGGCTCATCGGGTCTCCCAGGGGCCTGCACAGAGACGCCCAGCAGAAGTGTACAGTGGGGCCGCACCCAGATTGCATGCAGACAAGCAGAGCCCAGGCGTGCCCCTGGGCGGTAAATACTTCCAAATCATGGCCCCTCAGTTCCCCTTCTCTGTCTGACAGAGACCCTGAAGCAGCTTTCAAGTTTACCTTTCACTTTTGGCCAGCGATTCTTCTTCAGACTTGGTGAAAGCAGGGCAGGAAGTAGGCAAGGGTCTACTCTTTTTCTTTTCAGGCAACTTCCCAGGAGTTTGGGGTGGGTGGCAGTGTGGAGGGGGCAACAGAAAGAGAGACGTTGCCCCCAGTAGAGCTAGAGTTGGGGAGCAGATGGGAGTGACTGGGGGCCCCCCTCTTGTACCAAAACTGAGTTGCTGCCTAGTCGGTTCTGACTCTTGGTGACTCCGTGTGTGTCAGAGTAGACCTATGCTCCGTAGGGTTTTCAGTGGCAGATTTTTTGGAAGTAGATTACCGAGCCTTCCTTCTGAGGCTCCTCTGGGTGGACTTGAACCTCCAACCTTTCAGCTGGCAGTCAAGTGTATTAACTGTTTGCAGCACTCAGGGACTCCCCTTCTCAGAAACCAGGCTCAATTTCCTTTTCTGTTCTCAGCCCGTGGGCCTGACAGCCAGGCCAGCTGACCTCTTTCCTGTAGGCCGGGGTCAGCCTACTGCTGGCTCCAGAGGCAACCTTGGGGCCTTCTCACCTCCCTTCCTAGTCTCCTCCTAGAAATAAATGGCAGCACAAACACAGATAGGAAACTTTATTTTTATTTACTAGATTACCTATCTAGTAGGATCTGTTTCAGCTACATGTAATGGGGGAAAATAACAGCAAATTAAACAAGGTGGAAGCTTGTCCCTCTGCCACATAAAAGAAGTCCAGTGGTAGGCAGTCCAGAGCTGGCGTGGCAGCTGGACAGTCAACCAGGCTCAACATCTGGCTTCCTTCCTCAAGGATGCCTCATGGTCCAAAATGGCTGCTGGAGCCCCTGCATCATTTCTATATTCCAGAAGAGAGGGGAAAGGACAGGCATGGCCCTTTCCTTTAGAGGAGGCTTCCACATAACATTCACACTTCTGGTTCCCTGGCCAGACCTCGTCACAGGCCAACCCTAGCTATAGGAGAGGCTGAGGAAGGTCGCCTTTGAGCTGGACACACAGTAGCCAGGAAAGAAATCCCGGCTGTTACTGAGGAGGGGAGGCTGATATTGGATGGGCATCTAGCAGCCTCTGCCACAGGCTGTATTCCTGCCAAATCATAACTCCCTGGGGGCCATACCCGGGCCCCACTCCAGTCCCTTTCTCTCCGTCCCTCCGGCTTGTCTGAACCCCTTGGCCTCGGGAAGGGTGGGGAGGAGAGGGAGCCAGCTACTGCCTCTTCCTGTGTCACACCCGCCCTGTGGAATGGGGCGGCCCTGGGGCTCTCCTGTTCAGGCAGGAGGTGATGAGGGCAGAGGAGAGCGGCTGCCACTTCGGAGGTGGGACGCAGTGCTGATGGCCGGGCCCCCAGCCCCTTCCTGGCGGCCTGCCTCCTGACCAGCTCCTTTGCTCTCCCCCAGGTCCTGAGGCAGTACAGCATCAACCTCTCCGAGGAGGAGTTCTTCCACATCCTGGAGTATTACGACAAGACGCTGTCTTCAAAAATATCCTACAACGACTTCCTCCGGGCCTTCCTCCAGTAGGGCGGCAGCCGTGCCCAGCGCAGACAGACAGGGGACCGGGGCCTGTCCCCAAGACTAATAAAATCATATAATCGGGGAGGGGTTTAATGAATGTTCCAGAGTGTCCCCAGAAACAAAACCCAAACCCAAGCCAAGCCTCGCCTTCCCTCTCGGCTGCTGGCCCAGGCTTGGCTGCTGGCTCCACCACCAGGCTGTGGCGTCTCCGGCGGTGAGGCCGCCCGCTGCACCCAGCGCCCTTGCTCATGAGTCTGAGCAAATAAAAACATGAGTCTTTGCAGGAATGATTCTTGAGACTTTAAGAGAACCACCAATGATAAAACACTTAAAAACTCAATTTCTGGAGGTCTCGTTCAAGGGAACCTGCTGGGCACAGGGCGATGCTGATAGCTGCGCCATTATCCGAAGTGCTGCCCTTCTGCCCGCCTGTCTCCTCCGTCCTGCTGGACGTGTCTTGTGGCCATGCCTCTGTCCTCGAGGCATCGCGCCAATGCCTGGTTCCAGGCAAACCTCAGCTGGGCACCTCTGCCCGGTGTCCCTGCAAAACAAGCCCCCAACGCAGAGCCCCCAGGCCGGCTGAGCTGGCAGCTGATTGACCCACAGTGACTTCTTTGGGAAGGACCAGGTTTCACAAGCTCAGGAAGTTTTAAAGTCTCTTCTTTCCACCCTGGGAGGGCCATCAGGGCAGTCTGCTGCCTTCTCGAAGGTTCTGGGAGGGACTGGGAGGTGGTGAAGCAAGAGTGCAGCCCCTGAGCCTTCTGGAGGGGACGGTGGGGAGCAGCCCTACCCTGCCTGCCACCCCAGGCCCTCCCACCTCAGCCTCCATCTCAGCCCTAGACATGCTGACGCAGCTCCTGGGCACGGCCTCCGCCCCACCCCTGTGCAGGGCCCAAGGGAGGCCCCAAGGGAAGCCGCTGGAGGTAAGCAGCATTCTCCTGGGCTCGACTGCCGAAGAATCAGGCAAACCATTGGGCAGGAGGCTTCCTGGGCCAGCTCCCACCGTCCGTCCATCTCCTCGTCCGTCATAGCCCTCTGTGGCCGTGAAAATGTTCTGCTGTGTCACTTGTTTCCGGGCATCCTAAGTGACCCCTCACTTCAGGCTGAACCCCTGGGGAGCCTGGTCCTGCGCTTGTGCCCTGCTGTCCTCTGGTCTCTTCCTTCCAGTAGCCCCTGGTCTCTGAGCAGTCATTGTAGGAAGGAGGTTTCTCTTCTTCTTTCCATTTCATTGGCGTTTTCTCTGTGATCAGCCTGAACTGGGCCGTCCAGAGCACACTGCATTGTGAGATCACATTTCACCTGCTCGTGCTGCATGAGGAGTGTACTGACTCTGGGCTTGCATAGATCCATCTGTGTGCATCACATATGAGCCCTGGTTGAATCCAGATTGGTAGGGAAGAAGTCAAAGTATCTTTATGTGCACATGATATGATCTTATACACAGAAAACCCCAAAAAATCCACAAGAAACTACTGGAACTAATAGAAGATTTCAGCAAAGTTTCAGGACACAAGATAAACATACAAAAATAAGTTGGATTCCGTTACACCAACAAAGAAAACCTTGAAGGAGAAATCGCCAAATCAATACCATTTACAGTAGCCCCTCAAAAGATAAAATACTTAGGAATAAATCTAACCAGAGACGTAAAAGACCTATACAATGAAAACTACAAGACACTACTGCAAGAAACCAAAAGAGACCTGCAGAAGTGGAAAAACATACCTTGCTCGTGGATAGGTAGATTCAACATTGTGAAAATGTCAATTCTACCCAAAGCAATCTACAGATACAATGCAATCCTGATCCAAATTCCACTGGCATTTTTTAAGGAGCTGGAGAAACAAATCACCAACTTCATATGGAAAGGGAAGAGGCCCTGAATGAGTAAGGCATTACTCAAGAAGAAGAACAAAGTGGGAGACTTCACACTACCTGATTTTAGAACCTGTTATACCGCCACAACAGTCAGAACAGCCTGGTACTGGTACAACAACAGATACATAGACCAGTGGAGCAGAATTGAGAATCCAGACATAAATTCATCCACCTATGGGCAGCTTGACAAAGGCCCAAAGTCTGTTAATTGGGGAAAAGACAGTCTTTTTAACAAATGGTGCTGGCATAACTGGATATCCATCTGCAAAAAACTGAAACAAGACCCATACCTCACACCATGCACAAAAACTAACTCAAAATGAATCAAAGACCTAAATATAAAGTTCAAAATGATAAAGATCATGGAAGAAAAAAATAGGGACAACACTAGGAGCCCTAATACACGGCAGAAACACAATACGAACCATGAGTAACAATGCACAAGCACCAGCAGAGAGACTAGATAACCGGGAGCTCCTAAAAATCAAACACTCATGCTCATCAAAACACTTCAGCAACAGAGTCAAAAGACAACCTGCAGACTGGGAAAAAATTTTTGGCTACGGCAAATCTGATCAGAATCTAATCTCTAAAATCTACAAGATACTGCAACACTTCAACAGCAAAAAGACAACCTAATTAAAAAATGGGTGAAGGATATGAACAGGCACTTCACCAAAAAAGATATTCAGGTGGCTAACAGATACGTGAAGAAATGCTCATGATCATTAGCCATTAGAGAAATGCAGATCAAAACTACCATGAGATATTATCTCACCCCAACAAGGCTAGCATTAATCCAAAAAGCGCAAAATAATAAATGCTGGAGAGGTTGTGGAGAGACTGGAACACTTATACACTGTTGGTGGGAAAGTAAAATGATATAACCACTTTGGAAATCGATTTGGCGCTTCCTTAAAAATCTAGAAATAGAAGTACCATACTATCCAGCTGTCCCACTCCTTGGAATATATCCTAGAGAAATAAGAGCCATCACACGAACAGATATATGCACACCCATGTTCATTGCAGTACCGTTCACAATAGCAAAAAGATGGAAACAACCTAGGTGCCCATCAACGGACAAATGAATAAACAAATTATGGTATGTCCACACAATGGAATACTATGCAACGATAAAGAACAATGATGAAGCCATGAAACATAACATGGAGGAAGCTGGAGGGTTTTTATGCTGAGTGAATTTAGTCAGTCTCAGAAGGACAAATACTGTATAACACCACTACTATAAGAACTCAAGAAAAGGTTTAAACACAGAAGAAAACATTCTTTGATGGTTATGAGGGTGGGGAGGGAGGGTGAGGGTTATTTAGTAACTAGATAGTAGATAAGAATTATCTTAGATGCAGGGAAGGACAGCACATACTACAGGGGAAGTCAGCACAACTGGACTAAAACAAAGCTAAGAAGTTTCCTGAATGCAGTCAAACACTTTGAGGGACAGAGTAGCAGGGGTAGGGATCTGGGGCCATGCTTTCAGGAGACATCTAGGTCAATTGACATAACAAAGCTTATTAAGAAAATGTCTGCATCCTACTTTGGTGAGTGGAGTCTGGAGTCTTAAAAGCTTGCAAGTGGCCATCTAAGATGCATCAATTGGTCCCAGCCACCTGGAGTAAAGGAGAATGAAGAACACCAAAGACACAAGGAAAGTATATTCGCCCAAGAGACAGAAAGGGCCACATAAACCAGAGACTTCATCAGCCTGAGACCAGAACTAGATGGTGCCTGGC